ACTGCAAGCCATAAATAGCAAAAAACCGGCACATACACGACCACAACGATACAACAAAATTGAGTAGGGTTAAATAATAGAATAAGTAATTAAATATTTACAAAGTAACAAGTTGGTTACTGCTATGAAAATAGAATTGTACTAATATCTTATACATATTCAGAAGTAAAATAAAAAAACGTTATTGCATAGAGTTACTAATAATTCTATTTGTAACACCATTATGAATAATTTTTAAATACGATATACCGATACATAATTCATAAATCAACAGTACATGCAGAACCGTGAATAAAAAATGAGGATGAAGGTCACGTATGTATCACAGGTTTAAAAGTCACGATAATAATTAGTAAGCTTTATTTTTTTAGATCGATGACCGGACAAAGAAACCTAACATGTTATTAGAATAGTATAGAACAATCCTTTGACCACGCAACGTTCAACTTGCAAATTTTTTTTTTTTTTTATTGCATTGAAAAGTATTTTAGTGTATAAATATAGAAATTTTTGATAAAGTTATGTGAATGGATTATCCATCAAATGCGAAAAGATGCAACACTTTATATTAGGGGGTTTTAAAATTAACAAATAAGTGACTATTTCGAAAATAAGTAGGATTTTTTCAATAGCATTTTTACTATGTTGAATTATAAATCGGAAAAATAAAATAAGGTTCGCTGATTTTAATTTTGAAACCACCTATTGCTAGTAAACCATACACTCCGCTCCTGGTATACTGCAAACCCACCTAGTATCGCCACCAAAATCACGTACGTACGTAGGTAATTGCTCAATCTGAGTTTAACATAAGAATAGTAGAATTACGAGGTTTACATAACAAGATTTTCGAAAAATAATTGAAGATTTATATTCAAATTATTTATTCAAATTATTTATTCAAATATTTATTCAACTTATTTATTCAAAATTACTATTTATTCAAATTATTTATTCAAATTGTTCATTCAAGAATTTATTTAATTTATGGCTATAAATTCAAAACCATCATTCAAATTTGAATATTTAAAATGTATTGCATTTAAATTCAAAATTTTTAATACACATATAAAGCTTTAAGCCTAAATTAATACTACCAATAAAAGTGTTCTTATTACGTCCATTCCAAGTTTTCGGAAGCTTTTTTGCTCGCTCGATTCAATACTTCGAAGCCATTTATTTTGTTTTGGAAGATTATTAGACTTTTCAAGAACAATTGAGTGCCTAAAACATAATATTAGTAAAATACAATATACGCTAGTGAGAATTACAGAAATTTCCAGAGATACAAATAACACCCAAAGATTCCTATAATGTTCAATTCGTGGTTCATTTTTTTAATTCTCTTCTCAAGCTCACAGTAACAGTTGCACCAATAGATAAATGAAATAGATTTGATTGTTTATTACGATACTTTTTATGGTGAACATATAAATAACCATCTCTTTTTCATAGAACTTTACGATCTCAAGTGTTACTGCACTTGCCAAAAAATTCATTGGTAGCCTTTTTTTTATTTTGTTACTCATTTGAGAAACATCCTCATCTATCTCAAGATCCATATGCGTAATGCTTTATTTATAAGTTTTCATACACCATAAGTTTAAGCTCTTCAGATTCTATAACGTTTTCCTTTTTCTTGTAAATGTTGTTTAAAGTTTGGTCTTCACGCTTCCTTTTTCTTCTTTCATTTACGAGGGTAAACACTCAAAGCATGTTTTTTGATTATTTTGAAATGCAAAATGGGTTTCATAATTTGACAGAACGAACAATGATGCGTAATATGCTTATTTTTCATTTTACCAAATTATGGTAAACTCAAAGAAATAAAATTTAGATATTATTTTTATTATTGTACGCATTACTAATTAAATATTATCATTATCGTTGTTGTTATCATATTTCATTTCATATTTTATATTAACTCTAATCTTTTAAATGATTTAAGTTTTACCCTGATAGTGTGCTACACGTTAACATGCTACACGTTAACGGCTGTGTACAGATATAATCATAAGGTAGTTATTCATTAAATAATAGGTATATACGAGTTCCTCCATGATACTGACTAAAATTTAATAAATTATACAAAATAAGAAAAAGAATTTATGTATGTACGTACGTACAGTGGCCTCCGAAAGTATAAAATAGTTACACAAAAATATAGCATAAATTTTGTAAATAAGTAAATTTAATATTATATTATTAAATTTATGAATCTAAGTTTTTCCATTCTTCTAGAAGTGCCGTCTTCAAGGGTTCGTAAGTGTTTGAAGGTGGCCTTCATTGTTGAACTTTGTCCTTTAATATTTTCCACACATTTTCTATTGGATTTAAGTTAATAATTTCACATTGTCTATCACCTAATAATAAATTTTCATCATCGTTCAGAGCTATCTATTGACATTCAAGCTCAATATAATACATACTGGTTTCATTGTAAACTGGCAATGGTGGTATGATAATCTCAAGTTGTCCCTCAATGAGACTCATTTGAAGAAAGTGGGAATTTAAGAATGCAATTTTTTCAAACTGTTTTAGATCACAGTCAGGAATAATGATATTTGGAATATCAAGTGACATCAAAAAGTCTCAAATTCACCATAGGATCCCTTCACCTGAAATAAACATGAATCATATTACAAATAGATAGAATTTATATATATTGTTAGCCATATCTTTATTTCTTAATTAATTATAAAAAAACATGCCTATACTAATTCCTTTTATTCTTTTGTCGATTGCTATTAATATAAAGAAACCAGAAATTCATACCTGGAGGATAGAAGTAAGAATAGTTGTTGCCACAACCAAAGAGGTTCAAATCTAATACAACTATATAAATGATAAGAGGTAAAAAGAAAATCGCAGGCAAGAGAAGTAAATAATTTAGGTAAAAATCAAGAATGTTCTTAAGGTTCATGTTTGTCTTTCACAATCATATCAGTCACACGATTTGTCACATGCAAAATTTTACTATGGGGTCAAATGATCGATGCATCTAAATTTTATAAGTAAATTTTGGGCAAATTTTGCTTTTAAGGCATATTTAACAATAAAGAAGTTGTCAGTTTAGTTTCTGGGTATCATTTCATAAATTCTTTAGCATTTGAAGGTCCTTCTTACGAAATTTTAATGGTGGTTAAAAATAAAATGGAGAAAGATCATGATCACGAAGTTGGGCAATTTTTTGACGATTTTTACAATTTGTTTATAAGTTATTTATATTGTTTACTTCAAATTACCCAAAATAGGTAATGATAAACAGTCAATTAAATTTATGTAATTGACTATTCATCATTACCTTTTTTAGATATTTTTGGGTAAACAACATACATCACTTATAAAAAAATAGTAAAAATCGGCAAAAAATTGGTCAACTTTGTGATTATGATCTTTCTTCATTTTATTTTTAACTACCATTAAAATTTCGTAAGAAGGACCTTCAAATGCTAAAGAATTTATGAAATGATACCCGGAAACTAAACCGACAACTTCTTTATTGTTAAATATGCCTTAAAAGCAAAATTTGCCTAAAATTTACTTATAAAATTTAGGTGCGTCAATTATTTAACCCCATAGTAAAAATTTTGCACACTTGATCTGCATAACAAATCGTGCGTCTGATATTGAAATTTTATCTTATTATATAATCGATTTTTATTTTATAAATAATGAATCAATCAAAATCTATTAAATATAGGTAATAATATTAATATATTATAAATTTCCTAAGTTATATGACAAACAAAGTTAAAAATCTCAAACAAATACCACTTGACTCTGGATTGTTGCTAACATTAGAGTAGTAAACATTTTAAAAAAAATGATGACAGCTTTTACTATGCTTGTAAAAAGTTTTAAAAAAGCAATCAATTGAAATGTCATTTTTCATACTCATTGTCCTGTCCTTTTAGCAATCAGTAATCGAATGATAAACTTTGTTAAATCTTTAAACTCTTCCAAAAAGTCATTTTATATTATACTATGAGTTTAATCAAGAATTGTTCTTTTTTGGTTAGAATTGTTTTAAAGTAATTACTGTTACCTGTTATTGTTATTAGATCATATACGTACAGGAAACTGTTAAGTCAAATAATACCGAATTTATAAATCTGGTATATATGCACATATGTAAGTATGTAAATTATACATGTGTAAGTATGTACATATATATGTATATCATACATCTCCGATAATACCAAGATTGGAATTGGCTAAAATAATATTTATCATAGTAGATGATATCTCAATTAAAAATAAATAATATGAAAAATAAATATTCAAAATATAAACAACGCAAAACACGAAAACATTTTACGTTCTCTATATTTGTGTTTGGTTATTTTTATTTTGTTTCTATTTTTGGTAGTTGTTTATTGTTTTGATAAAAATTTTTTATATGCTTATTTTATAAAATTTTTTATATATAAAGGCATGAAAAATTCTTTGGTGAACTTCATAGCCCAAATATACTTTTATAATAAAAAAGAAATAAAATATTTATATATATAATTTTTGCATTAAAAAAAAAATTTTAAACTTTTATTTAATAGATATTATTTTCTTGTAAGCCAAAAGAATTTAAACACTTTTAACCTGAAGAAGATATAAAGAAAGTACTTGAAATTATACAGATAAGTATATTTTTATATACTTTTAATTGTTATAAAATTTTAAATTGTAAATATTAAATACGTAATACTTATATATATATATTTTTTTTTATTTTTAATATAAAATAGAAATCCTAGGTTGAAAGTGTTTAAATTCTAATTGGCTGCAAAATATTATTT